TTTGCTTTACCTATCAGTATGCACACATTAGTCTCAAAATAACACTAAAATATTCCAGTACAATTACTGAAAACTTAAAAAAAACTTATTTCATATATTACTATTTTCTTCCTTTCACCCAATTCCACCAACCCCAACCCCACCCCAGTACTGAGAATTGAACCCAAAGCTTTATACATGTGAAGCAAGTACACTATCACTGAACTATGTCTCCAACCCTCTCTTTTTCATTCTATTTATTGATTTATTTTTGGAATTTTGCAACATGGACTCGCTATATAGCCCAGGCTAGCTTCAAATTCACTAGGTAGCCCAAGCTGGCCTCAAACATGAAATCCTCCTGCCTTAGTCTCTTAGTACTTAGTCTGCCAAGTACTGGGCTTTCACTTTCCATATAAAAGGTGTATATTTTCAGGTCATAGTGTCTACATATTGCGATTTCTTCATTTTAAACTTCATATTGTCTGTGTTCTGTAACTATATAAGTAACGTTCAATCTCTATGGTTACTTCCATGTCACTATAGACACTTTAGTTTTACAAAGCTCATCCTCAGTTAGACAACTCAGTACTAGTGGACAACAGTCACAGAGTTCTTACATGATGTTAATAATGTTTGTGACTTCATATTTGAAAGGCACTTTTGCTTGTTATAAAATTCCTGGATTCCATCTCATACTCTTTAGTCTCAATGGTCTTCTGACATAAAGATTTGTTATGGAAAGAGCTGATGATAATATAATTTCTTAGCAATAATCATGCCTCGGATAAACCTCCTTGGTTATGATACTGCCACTGTGCAAAGCTGATAATATAATTTCTTATAAGTTGCTTGCTTTTATCTAGGTGTCCAGGGAACTCTGTTTTCCTTGAAAGTCCAAATTTTACTAGAATATGTCCTATGGTGGCCCATGCAAGTTTATACTCACAGATAATTAATGTCGTTTTTCCAACAAATGGTTTTCAAATCTTTATAATTTTCAGAAAATATTTTTGGAATACAGTTTTTAGTTTTGTTTTGTTTGGTTTTGTTTTTTTCTCTTCCTTTGCTTTGGTTTCCTTCCTTAGGTATTCCTATTATAAATATGTTGGATCTTCTTTGCTTGTTTTCAATATTTGTTATTTTTCTTGAATTTGTTTACTTTTCTATTATTATTTTTAAAGTTTATTTTCCCTTTTCACTGCCAATTTCTAATAAGACATTATCTACTATGTTTATTCAATCTATTTGTTACATCTAGTTTAGATTTTCTTTCTAATGTATTTTTTCTTTTACTGAGTTTGGTCAACTCTTTTTAGAGACTTTTAAGCTCTGACTTATGTTGTTCTTTTATATGAAAGATAGCCAATTTACTTTACATTTTATTTGTGGTTGTCTGTCTGTCTCTTTACATTTATTTATTTATTTAATCAGTACCAGGAATTAGAACCAGGGCCTTTACACTGAGCTATATTCCTCACCCCTTTTATTAATTTATTTATTTTTAATTTAAGACAGGGTCTTGTGAAATCATTAAGTTGCACATTGGGCTCCAATTTGCAATCCTCCTGGCTCTGCCTCCCAATGTACTGGGATTATAGGTGTGTGCCACCATACTAGCCTAATCTATTTAAACTTTTTGTTTACCCAGTTAGTATTTATTGAACATCTATTATGTGCAAGCACTGTAGCCTAAAGTCAAGTTACACTAGCCATTTACTAGATGCATGAAAGAGAAATAAAAGCTTACTTTTTGTTTTTAGGTACCAGAGATCAAACTCAGGACTTTGCATTTGCAAGGCATGGTGCCACCAAACTAAATTCCTGGCCCCAAAAGCTTATGTTTTATGTAAATAAAATTTTGGATTTATGAATCCACCAACCGCTAAATGATAAACTGTTTTTATCAATTACTAAATCTCATTTTTAGTCTCAACAGAATACTTTTACACTATGAATTCAACATTTTTGAAATCCTCATTCTGATTTTATCAGCTGGATCTATATTTTTAGAAACTTTTTTTTCTTTTCTTTCTTTTTTTTTGGTTTTTCGAGACAGGGTCTCACCTTGTAGTTGAGACTGACCTGGAACTCACTATGTAGCTCAGGCTGGTCTTGAACTCACAGCAATCCTCCTGCCTCAGCCTCCCAAGTGCTGGTATTACAGTTATGCACCACCACACCTAGCTTAGAAACATTTTTTAATAAGATGTATTTTTAAAGAATTAAAAGCTTCACTGTTTTTCTTTTTTTTTTTTTCCACAAATACATATGTGTCATTTGGGCCAGTGATTTAGCTCAGTGGCACCAAGCCTGCCTCTCAAGCGCAAGATCCTGAGTTCGATCTCTGGTACTGAAAAAAAAAAAGAAAGAAAAAAAAATGTGTTATCTAAAAAATGAGTTACAATCTTTGCAGATGTTCTGTCATTACTGTCTAGCATTTAGTTTGACAGAAAATATTTTTCCTGATTTTTTTTTCCTTTATAGGTTGTATGCATTTCCTGGAAAATGCTTGCAAAAAGTGTTTAATTCTTGAAATCTGGAATCTTCAGGATTGAAGATTGATTCTGGCTTGAATTCAGTGAGCTCTTTCACCTACAACCTAATCAAAGAAAGCTCATGAAGATTTTCTATTATATTTTTCATTATTTCTGGGGGGATGTGTATAATTATGCCAATTAAAAGTTGCTTCTCAATCTTCTGACTTTTACTTTTATCTTTCTCCAAATCTTACTGATTTCATCTTTTTGTTTTTCCTCTCTATTCTGAGGAAAAAGGTAGTTTTCAAATTTCTCTCTCGTATCAATAATTTTTTTTCAGTGCTGGTAATTGAACACAGGGCCTTGAGAGTGCCAGGCCAAAGCTTCACCATGGAGCAGGCATTGTGAGGCAGTGACTCACTAATTTGACCAGGCTGCCTACATAATGGAATTGTCCAGGCTTAGCTCCAGAGTGGATGAGATTACAGGTAGGTATGATCATGCTTAGCAAGGCAAATACATTCTTTCATTACATAACTTAATATGCACGCATAAAGCCAACCATTTCATGGTACAGGGATAGAAGGGACCCTTAGGTAGGGTTTCCTGGGTCCTTTTAGAGAGTAGAAAAAAAAAGGCTCTGAGGAAAGCAGTTTTTAGGCAGCTTTGTGGTTTTTCTTCTGAAGCTGATAAGGGTTTGCCACTGCAGGCAACACTGTCTACCCAAGTTCCCTCATCAATTAGCTCAGTAAACCCAAACCCCCAGGAACAAGCCCAACATCCAATCACTGGGGTATTGGGGGTGTGGCGTGGTGTGGAGACAGGGTCCCCACTCCACAAAACAGGACGGGGCCCCAGATTCAATGGTGACCCAGCTCTGGGACCTCACTCCTCCAAGGGGCTTTGTACTGCTTCCTTCTGCATATAAAATTACTTTCGCTTTGCACTGGTCTTCTTCCTCCTATATTGGAGAGAGAAACAAGCCCAGGAAACTTTTGAGGGTGGGCTGGAGACCCCAGACCCATTGGACACAACAATGGGATATCAAAGATAGGCATAATGGAAATCTCAAAGTTTTCAGATTCCTATTTTGAATTTTCGGGGCCCACACACTGGATTATATGGGTGCCTAAGCTTGATAAAAACGGGGCTTCTCTTTTATTTGTTTTGAGACAGGTTCTCACGCTGTAGTTCAGCTTCTCTCCTGCCTCAGCCTCCTGAGTGCAGGGATCAAAGCCGTGAAGACAATGCGCTCAGACAATATGTTTATAATATGCAATGAGTGCAATCTAAGATTATAATGGTCGATTTATCTGGCAGAATAATTCTTTATGGCAGTCCCTCTTTCAGGGAAATGCCGACGATAAGATCAAATTAAAACTGAGGAAAATTGTTTAACGTTGAAACAAACAAAAAAGAATAAAGATTCCTAATATTATTTCCATCGAGGTAGGTAAATTGTCATTACTTCTCTTTAAGACCAGTTCTGCCAACAGTAGGAATGCTTTGTGAATCAACATCATCGGATTTGTCCCTAATTATTTGACATTTGCACGCTTCAGTTCCCTTATTTTGTAAAAATGTTGCAAGGATTGAGGTTATACACTTAAAACAGCACATTTTATGCGATTTATATTATAAATATATAGATGTATTAATGGTATTATGATGCTATTTGTTGTAATGTTATTTATGGTTGTAGTATTTAACAACTTTGCAGCTAACCCAGAGACACTACACAAGGGCTTTACAATCTCAACCTACAACCAAGGAAAGAGGCGAGCACAAGTTACCGTGACAACAGCAGGCGAGGAGACAAATTCCGCTGCCCGGTCTTTTAGACAGAAAAGAAGAAAAAAAAAAACCCAGGCTGCGTGTTGCGTCATCATTGCGCGCTCGTTAGGTGTCTGTACAGCT